TCTCTCCCTTTCTCCTTCTCTTCCTCCCTCCCTCCTTCCCTCCCTCCTCCTCTTCTCTCCTTCCCTTCCTCCCTCCCTCCCTCTCTCCCTTTCTCCCTCTCTCCCTCCTCCCCTCCTCTCATTGGAAGTTACTCCTTGGCAGAAAGTGTTGGCTTTAGCTCACTCTAGGCAACCAACTGGTCACTGTAAGGGGACATCTTCTTACGCTGAGTCCAGGCTCAGGTGTGCAGAGGCTGAGGTAGACCCTAGGGGCAGCACACACCAGCTCTTCTTGCTGTGAGCCTCTCCTGGAGGAAGGGGTTTCCCTAATCCCCGGGTCCTGTTACTGGAGGAGGGAGGGCAGGGTTCTGAGAAGAGCAAGTCACCCAGGTCGGTGACTCCAGAGGGCCACAGTTGCTCCAGCCTGCCTCTCCCCAGCTCTCAAGAAGATGCATTTAGGGGGACAGAAACGTCACCAGGAACTTATCAGAGTTCCTGAGAGAGGACCACAGGGCTGGAAGAAAGGGATCCCTTCTATCTTGTCTGGAGATGAAGGGTGGTCCTTTCCCCTTGTTCCTCTGTCTCCTAAATCTGCCTTTGTATCCTCCCTGGTCTCTGAGAGGAAGCAGCAGCCGAGGACTTCCACCCTCCAAAGGGACCTGTGGAAGTGACCTCCCCCGAGGGACCAGCCTGCAATGACCTCCTGGCCACCATGGTCACTCTGGGGCCCAGGCTGCAGGCCCACGGAGCTGCCCAGATTCAAGCCAGGCTCCTCTGGCGAAGGAAGGGGGGCCCGGTCCCGGCGGACCTGCCACCACCCGCTGGGCTTCTCCCACAGGGCTCTTGGAGCGGCTTAGCGGAAGCCTCCGAATCCCTGGTGGGGGCGGGCGGCCCACCTGCCACCGGGCAAAGCCCTGCCTTCCTCTACAAACGCTGCTCGCGGCTTTCAGGGAGGCCGGGCTCACGATTGAAAACCCCTAAGCGGGAGGAGGCTTAGCCGGCTGTGTGCCGAAATTCCTCAGTGGCTCCATCAATTATACACCGCCTTGAGATCTGAAAACCGATTAGTTCACTGATGACGTCGCTGAAACAGCCCTTCAGAAAACCTCCACCAAAAACCCTCTAAAGAACCAGAACAAAGCCTACCCACCTGAGAGAAATCCTTCTGGACGTGAAACTTGGGAGGCCAGGGCTGACGTCCCCACCCCAGCCCTCAGACAGCAGCCGCCGAGGCCTAAGGCAGGGCTGACCACAGGTGCGGGGCCGACACGGGGTTTTATAGGCAGGAACTCGTTTCGTTTAATTAACATGCTGGGTCTTCGCGCAAGCCGCCGGTGAGGAATCTCCTCCCCATTCTAATCTACGGATTCGTTCAAAGTTTCGGGAGAGGAAGTTA